CGCAACAGGACTCTAGGTCTGTTCGCCTTTATTTCGTTATGGTACTCCCATGGACTCGTGAAAATCATACACCCCTACTTATTTTAATATTATTTTCCTTTGCAGGTATGGCAATTGTGGAGTGATAGTGCTAGCATTTCTAGAGTATTTGTTGGTGGGCTTACCATTAAGCCCAAACTGCAGTTCTGAACACATTGCTGATTTCCGATGTCAATTTGCAGCTAGGTTATGGCGTGGAAGGAAAAGAACCAATATTTAGGTTTTTTACTTTACAATTTTAGGGGTCTTTAATTTTTGTGAAACTCTTTGTAATGGTTTTTGTGCTTTGTAATGTATTTTTTGGGGAAACACTTTAGATTTTTTTGAAAGCTTTGTAATGGGGCTTTTATAATCATGAATTTCTACTTGTTAATGCACAATTTGTTAATGTATGTGATGACTGATTTACATTAGTTTATGACTGATTTACAGATTTACTTTCAAAGCCCTCACAGAGAATAACTATCTATTTTACCGATTACACAAAGATTTAATGTATGTGACGACAGAGTTACATAACTTTATGCACATACACCATCTTCAGAATCTTATCACATATGTGGGGGTCTTGTAAAGGTAAAAAGAAAGTTAAAACGCATACATTAGATTTCATGGTGCTCACATGGAATAACTGTCTATGTCACACACTTCACAGAGACTTAATGTATGTGAAGACAGAGTTATATCAGGTTTACATCAGTTTATGTGCATGGAACTCAGAGAAAGTTATTATATTTGTTACATACTTTACACAAAAAGCAAAAAGCTATGTGATTTACAGTTCCCATGCTCATTCCAACGATATATTCTAGATTTCGTAGGACTCAAGTCATGGTTATGCAATAACTGCACAACAGAGATCTTCCATATTCCATCACCATCACATGACGTAGTTACTCTAGCTTCACATCCCAATTGCATTGTTGGGCTCGGGTGGAACACATCTTGTGTTTTGCTCTTGTTATTTCCTTGTCGACTACACACAAATGTAACACTTCTAGGAGTTCCATCTTTGGCTTTGCGAGTTGTCCTAGTCTGCATTGGAAATCCTTTACTTCGAGAATAAGCTAGATAGTGTTCTCGGATTTCTTCAATGCTTGTAAACTTCATCCCCACTTCAGGCACGCTACCTTTGTTTCCTTTAGAAGGACACTGATCATTGTTCTGGACATCATTGTTAATGTCATCTGTGTTCTGTCCGATCTCACCACTCGCATGTTCTTGCCCTTCATCGTTAAATATATATCGAAAGAAAGGATCGTTAAGAAGCAAATCTGGTTCAAAAGCTGCAAAAAAACAGCACCTTTAATATAATACAATGCCTGACTATGAAGAAAACAAAAATACACCAAATGCAGAGTGCATACAGATTATTAGCATCTGTGACAAGGACAAACCCTAGGTTCACAGAACATTAATCTCTGTAACACCAAAACAAAACAGTATTTTTTCACTACTTCAAATGAATATAAAATGGGGTTTAAATATCAACACTTAGAACTGGGCTGCAAGTCATATAAAACCAAGTCTTCTTCTTCACCACCAAAATCATGTGGTTGATCATTCTCAACATGTGTAACAATACATGTTTGTAAGTCCATAATCACCAAATACCCTATGTACTCCACAAAAATTCAAAAAATTATTGCTATACAAATTGACTAAAAATGGAATGAAGAGAAGAGATTGACAGAGGGATGGTCGTGCTACAAGGGTTGGCGCATCAGAGATATGAAGAGGAAGATAAGAAAAAGGAAATATTACCTGCAGGAAGGAGAGAGGAGAGTCGTGCGGCTGGCTGGCGCGGAAGAGCAGAGCCGCCAGAGAAAGAAAAAAAAGTCGTAGAGGAAAGAAAAAAAGAAAAAAAGAAGGAGAAAAGGTAAAAAAAGCTTAAATAAGGAGGCAGCAAAGGAGGTAGGGCGGGTGCACTGTAGCACGGTCCTTCTATTTTTTATATGGGTAATCACTACGTCAAAAACAAATGCTGACAACTGTTCTTTTTAGTAGCTGCAGTCTACTCTTATTCGAATCATACAAGGCATTAGTAATCATAGCACACCCATAAGTACAAATCAAAAGGATATATTTAGAATCTCAGAGTTTTGCGGAAATACAAATTTTTAATCCAAAAAGGGTAAAAAGAAAATTGAGCGCGCAGGCTCCGATTGCATTGTTTCAAAATCATGAGCATAGTCTAGCATGGAAAATCTCCATTCCTCGGATCAAAATAGACTTTAGTCCTTTGGTTGCTTCAAACAATATCCAGCAAATCTGCAATCCAAAAATATGTTTTGGGGAGGAGGGGTCAGTACAACGCCACATCGTGTACTCGTGAGGAGCCAAAAATTCAGACTATTATATTCTATCACATAATCACAAGGGTTAACCAAAAATGATTTGTTATTACTTTCAAAGTCAAGATAAATATATTATCCCGTAATTCACGTCGATGTATCTCAAAGTTTACTTTTAACCTAATACCATAGGTTCGATGGAATTTTGTAAGTGGGTGTTTATAAACCTTGACCTTTATTCAAAATGACGATTCATAATCTCGTCCCAAAATTAATATCTCATTTTCGAGAATAACTGTTCCAAAAGAGACAGATATAGAAATCTCCAATCTTTTTTTAAATCGTACAATCTGATGGGGAGCCCCTCTTTTGTACTCAAGCAAACTGATCAGGTTATCTTAGAACACCCGCCGAGGTATCTGTCTTGAAAACCATCCATTTTATTTTCACACTAAAGTCAAGAAAATAATCCAGCAAGGTTAATCGTTTTTTTAAATGTCATTGGAAAATTAGGGAATTCATGGCTAAAGCCTAACCCTATCCCCAAAGACCTCGGCGTTAGGGTGTGTTAGTCTTAGTGGTGGCGCTAAGCCCTAACACTTGGGAGGTACTCAAAAGTAGCTCCTCTTATTTGTGGGCTAGGAAGCAATCACGCATGACCCTTCCTATCCGTCCCAATAATAGCGACCGACACCCAGACCTATTATTATTATGCGTCCACTTAGGGAGGCACTATAAAAGAATTCTACGGCCGAGATTTATCCACCAACGGCTCTAAAAGCCATTTACCTATAGGGCCCAACCTATAATAACATCTCAGTTTATAAAATTCGGAAATCTATTAATATTCTGCATCCAAAAGAAACAGTATATTTTATCTCATGATTTACTTTGTCGAGGTTATAAAATCATGTCATAACAATTTTAAAAATGTCCAAATCATAACCCTTCGACCTTTTTGGAGTGAAATTATATATTTTATTAAAACTTTTCTATCATTAAGGCTATAGTCCAAACTTGAGACCCATCACATATTGGCCCAAAACTTTTCTCTTCCCTTAGAAAACCTATATATCTTAGGACCGTGCTACAGTGCACCCACCCATGCCTCCTTTGCTGCCTCCCTATTTAAGGTTTTTTTTACCTTTTCTCCTTTTTTTTTTCTCCTTTCCTCTATGTTGCTCTGGATCTGCTCTTCCGCGGCAGCGACCCACTCTCTTCTCCCTTTCATGCGCTCTCCTTCTTACAAGCCGGCAGGTAATCTCTTCTTTTTCTTATCTTCATCTTCATATCTCTGATGCGCCAACCCCTGTAGCACGACAATTCCTCTGTCAATCTCTTCTCTTCATTCCATTTTTAGTCAATTTCTATGGCAATAATTTTTTGAATTTTTGTAGAATACATAGGATATTTGGTGATTATGGACTTACAAACATATATTGTTCCACATGTTGAGAATGAGCAACCACATGATTTTGGTGGTGAAGAAGAAGACCTGGTTTTATATGAGTTGCAGCCCAGTTGTAAGTGTTGATATTTAGACCCCATTCTATATTCATTTGAAGTAGTGAAAAAAAACTGTTTTGTTTTCGTGTTACAGAGATTAAAGTTCTGTGAATTTAGGGTTTGTCCTTGTCAATGACGCTAATTATCTGTATGAACTCCGCATTTGGTGTATTATTGTTTTCTTCATAGTCAGGTATTTTATTATATTAAAGGTACTGTTTTTTGCAGCTTTTGAACCAGATTTTTTTCTAAACGATCCTTGCTTTCAGTATTTATTTAACGATCAAGGGCAAGAACATGCGAGTGGTGAGATCAGACAAAACACAGATGACATTAACAATGATGTCCGGAACAATGGTCAATGTTCTTCTAAAGGAAACAAAGGTAGCGTGCCTGAAGTGAGGATGAGAACACTATCTGGCTTATGCTCGAAGTGTACGATTTCCAATGCGGACTAGGACAACTCGCAAAGCCAAAGATGGAACTCCTAGAAGTGTTACATTTGTGTGTAGTTGACAAGGAAATAAAAAGAGCAAAACACAAGATGTGTTCCACCCTTTTTGCTTTTTGCTTTTTGTGTAAAGTATGTAACAAGTATGATAACTTTCTCTGAGTTCCCTGCACATAAACTAATGTAAACCTGATGTAACTCTGTCTTCACATACATTAAGTCTCTGTGAAGTCTGTGACATAGATAGTTATTCCAAGTGAGCACCAAGAAATCTAATGTATGCGTTTTAACTTTGTTTTTAGCAATACAAGACCCCCAGATATGTGATGAAATTCAGAAGATGGTGTATGTGCATAACGTTAGGTAATTTTGTCGTCACATACATTAAAGCTCTGTGTAATGGGTAAAATAGACAGTTAATCTCTGGGAGGGATCTGAAAGTAAATCTGTAATTCAATTATAAACTAAGGTAAATCATTCATCACACACAGTAACAGATTGTGCATTATCAAGTAGAAATTCATGATGATAAAAGCCCCATTACAAAAAAATCAAAAAAATCTGAAGTGCATAACATTATGTAACTCTGTCACATACGTTGAAGCTCTGTGTAACAGGTAAAATAGACGGTTATTCTCTGTGAGGGCTCTGAAATTAAATTTGTAATTAAGTCATAAACTAAGGTAAATCATTCATAACACACAGTAACAGATTGTTCATTAACAAGTAGAAATTCATGATGCTAAAAGCCCCATTACAAAGCTTTCAAAAAAATCTAAAGTGTTTCCCCAAAAAATACATTACAAAACACAAAAACAATTACAAAGAGTTTCACAAAAATTAAAGATCCCTAAAATTGTAAATTAAATATTGGTTGTTTTCCTTCCACGCCATAACCTAGCTGCAAATTGACATCGGAAATCAGCCATGTGTTCAGAACTGCAGTCTGGGCTTAATGGTAAGGCTAGCAACAAATACTCTAGAAATGCTAGCACCATCACTCCACAATTGCCATACCTGTAAGGGAAAATAGTATTAAAATAACAAGCAAACTTCTTTCACAAACAATAATGTTTTATGAAGTTCAATAAACAGAAGTTAATCGTCTGTGAGATACAATTCACAGAAAGCAAGCAAAAATAACAAGCAGGCCTCTTTCACAGACAATAATGTTATATGAAGTTTAAATAACAGAACTTAACCATCTATGCCATACAATTCGCACAGTAAGCAGAAATAACAAGCAAACCTATTTCACAGAGTCCAATAACAAGTGGGGTACATGCTAAGGACCATGCTACATTTACACCAAAAAATGTACATATAGCTTAATCCAAAATCTAAAGTGTTTCCCCAAAAAAATACATTACTTGTTCATAGGGGTGGGGCTGCCGGCGCTGGAGCTGGAGGGGTGGGGCTGCCGGCGCTGCTATGCTCTCGACGGAGAAGAGGGACGTGGAATTGGAGTTGTCCGAATTCTGTCGCTTGTGGAGGTTGAAGTGAGAGAAGGGAGATTTGGGAATTTTGGGAAAGAAGGTGGGAGAGGAAAAGAATAAGAAAAAAAGGAAAATTAAAAAAAATTTAAATATATTGGGTAGCTTGCTTGGAGGCACATGTGGTGTGGTGCCTCTTTAGCATTCTCCTATATCTTATCTAACAAAAGATCTCCTGGTTCGTTCATTTACATCGGACGAGGAGCGAGAGAGAGGTTCGTCCGGTCAATCATCTTCCTGCTCGTCTGGCCCCGTCGTCCGTCGATAAGGCAGCGACTTCATCACCGCGATGAAGGGAGATGACAGTGATGCCGATTTCGGTAAGATACAATCAAAATTTCTTATTCTCGACTTCATTCCTAGATGCTAAAATCGTTTGAATTCTCCAATTAGTTTCGAAATGATTCTCAGTTCCTTATCGGGTTAATTCCTTTCTATCTCTAGATTTCGTAGGGGATGGAATCCTAACACATTTCAAATTTTCCCATTTTGTAAAAATTTAGATAAGGGATTTGAAGATTTCTTAGTCCAAGCCATGTTAATGAGACCCTATTTCTTGAAAAATATGTTTGAGCAGATTCTTTTTATTTTATTTTCAAAATATACCCAATTGACTTCTTCGTTTTAAACGTGAAATGTACTCAACTTGAAAAAAAAGTCATATGTGGGATTAAAGTATTCATCATCACTCCTCTGAAATTTTGAGGAATCAATTTGAGCAGAATTTCGGGTTTGAGGAAATCTAACTTTCATCTCTTGTTTTCAAAAAATTAAATTTTAAGTCAAAGCCTTGTAGAATTAAAACAATATAGAGTAAAAATCTTTTCTTTGGGAGAGTAAAGTAAACTTTTAAAATTTTGTAGTAGTCAATATGAGTTTGGTGTATGCTCAGAATCGAATTTCACGAACTGAGGTATTAGAGAAACAACACCACCCTCAAGCTATTTCTTCAACTTTGGTAATAACTTAACGTAGTAGAAATTCATATCTAAAAAGATGGTTTTAAAAAATGCTCCTTGTAAAAATCAAACTTCTACAGAAGTATAAAAAATTGGGGTTTCAACGCAATCTAGGTTTTTGTTTGGAAAAGTTCTACTAAGAAAACATCTCTGGCCTTTGAAAAAAACACCACTGTTTCAAATAGAGTGTGATAAAAATGTATCCTTTGTTATAAAATCTCATTTGTCCATGGGAGTAGTGATATAATAATTCCTAAAAATAGTTATAAAATCAATTCAACTACTTATGATTATAGGCTAAAATGTAATATTAAGAATTTATAACCCACTCACCTATTTATACTTTGATAATAGTGGAAAGGTACGGGATCTGCCATGATATTAGTGTTCCTTCATTGACAATTCTTGAATCGGTAGCCCCTCTTACTTTCTCAAGGATATTGGCTTCGGTAATTTTGGCTTATAGATACACTGGTTTTCTTAGATGGTTGATGTTCTGGGATAGAATGGGTATTACCATAAAGTCACTCTTTTTTCTTTTTCCTTAAGAGAGTATTGTTTCTACTTTAAGAAGTTGAAGTGTAGAACTTAGGAGCTAGTTTCAACTCCGAATGAAAGTGGTGAGAACTCACGGGTTATATATTGAGGTAGTTCTTAATTAATTAATTAATTTATTTTTTAAAAAAAACCTTGCCTTGGCCACTCCCTCATAAAGGGCTTCATGCAGTAGGTTATGCAAGGGAAATTGTGAATGCAGTAGGTTATTGTTTTCTCATTAAATGGTGAAATTGAGATTGGCTTGCAGGGACTCTTGTGGAGAGGAAGGTGCTAGAGTACCTTCATATTAAATGAGGATGAGGACAAGTGAAGAAACCCCCTTGAAGAAGGTGATGACTACCCATGATATTTCTTTTTCTCTTACAGAGGCTGCCCCTACTTTTAATTGTGATTTTGGCAGTGGCTTTCTTCAATTGTCACCTCACATTTCTTGAGTATGTAAATTATATAGTGATACTTTTGTAAATGCATTACATCTTTCACAGCTCAAAGTTATTTTCCAATTTGCAAACTTCTACTTTTGTCAACAAGTTTTATATATGTATCCGGAGTAGGTGATTTTGTAAAAAATGACCAATTAATTATTTGTAATTAACCTTTGTATGTGTAAAACTATATCATGTTCCCAATTGTATACTATATGAAAACAAATTCTATTGGTCCTTTGTAAAATATTTATTGTAGAATAAAACACACTACATATTACGTTCTTTAAAATCATTACATCTCGCTGATCGTATACCTTTTTCAAAAGTAATTTAGAAGTTTAATACATGAGTTCTGAAAAATATTTCTCTATGTTATAATATTTAATTCAACATTAAATTCTTATATCTATCTTGGAATCCCAAAATACAAGTAAACCATAAAAATATGTTACCATTTACTTTATAAGAAATATATGCCAAAGTTATAGTTTTGTTTTTTTTCTACATTGGAAAATCTTTTTATATTGATATATATAAATAATTTATTTTTTTGTCGACATGGAGTAAAATATTTGTTAAAGTAAATTTGTCATTTGAAAAAAATTTACTCCATTTTTTTTAAAGAATATTTTATTAATACGGATACGGTATTACATTACTGTTTAAAAATAATTGTGTAATACGGTTGGCGACACCTATTTTGTGATGTTTTAGAGTACATGTTCTTGAAGTTGTCCTCGTATGAGTAAGACATCTGTTTTCTGGAGTTAAAGACAACTCTGATTGATGGGTGTAATCCACCCAGAACTGGTCAAAGGGAATGTCCAAATATTCGACCGGTCAAATTGATTATTCTTGAAAGAAAGATCTCAATCGTCAGTGAGAGGAAGCTTGGTTGACCAAAAAAGTTGACCGGTATACTTAGGATAGTATACTGGTGAAACCACTTTATCGTCATATTCATCCCTCAATTTCAGCTTACCTATCCCTTAGGAACTACCCGGTACGGTTTCTAGGGTTGGAGAGTTTCGGCAGAAAAGAATCCAAAGTAGTTTGGACCATAGCGACCAAGATCAGCACAGGATCACTGGAGATGCTTGAACACTCCATCCGAAATGCTACATGACAAGGGAGCGATCTTCCCCGCAAGGTGACAAAGGAGTTAAAAGGACGAAGGCCATCACCTCACACCACACAGGAACGTGCCTCAACGTGGGTACACGGCGTCCTGTCCCCTTCAAGCCTAGTATATATATTGCTGTAATCTTCAAATAAAGGGGTCCGAATTCATTCTCTCTAAAACTCCCTTGTGAAAGCTCCCGTGTATTCTCCCATATTTATAATATCAATTGGGCTACATGTGTTTCCACCTACAGTCCTCCCGGTCATTTGTGTGTTTTTACCTTTTTAATTTCCGAATCAAGTAAACGATACTAGACTCGGTCTAGTATAGTTTACCCGGTTAGGTAATTTACACCATCTTTTTGGCGCCGACTGTGGGACCGTTAAGGTTTCTTTTCATCTAAACACAAACCTACCCACAAAAACACCACTCAAAATGTCTTCAAGCCAACAAATCAACGCTACTTCTGCTCAAGTGCAAGCCACCGCTGAGGGGGCCACCATCCCCATGGTTGCTACCCAACCGGCTATCTCGGCTCCAGTGGCGCCATTGGGATTAAGTTCAACCCCAACACCAAGCGTGGTCACCCCGTTCACAATTCTTGTCCCTTCTGCTGGACCGAGCATGACCCAGTTCATGAGTGACCCGGCCAACCTACAGGCCATCCAAGGCTTTGGCCAGGTCATGGCCATGTGTCAGCAGAATGGGGGATGCCATTCCTCCCAGGCATGTTTCCATTCGCCCTTCCAGGCGCTGGAACGATGCCCCTTCAAACTCCAATGGCAGTGTCACCAATCCAGACGCCAGTACCACAACCATCACCTTTCCAGCCGCAGTTGGTCAGCACTGTGCCCCCCCGTCAATTTGACTGGTGCGCTTAACGCCGCTGGGCCATCACGCCCTCCGCAGGGTACAAATCCACAAATCACTCCTGATGGTTATTGCGTCTCGGTTGAGAGCGGTGACGATGAGTGGGACATTCCCAGGACCCACAAAAAGAAGAAAGGAAAAACCATCCGACAAGCAATATCCCGAAACTCTGCCTTCGAAAGGCTTGGAGATAGGGAAGAGGGTCAGAGGAAGTCGGCCAAGCTGAGACTAGGACAGAGCATTGCCCATGTTAGCGTGTTCGCCCGATTTGGCGAAGGGAGGGAGTTCGAGCCTGCCCGTACCCAGCGCTCCTGGTCGAACCGGCATTTGCCTGCGAAGACAAGGGCTTCCCGCCAAGAAGAAGAAGCGGAAAGTCAGCCCCGTGGACCGGTGATTAATTGGCTAACCATGCCGAATGATCGCGTCCAGAAAATGGAGGCGAAACTGAAGAGGTTGGAGAAGAAAGTGGGGGAGAAGAGTGACCGGGATAAACCCCTAGCCGGGTCCCCGTTCACTACAAGGGTCCATCTGACACCTTTCCCGTGAAAGGTCAAGATCGACGCCCCAAGATTTACCGGGAAGGAGGATCCAGAAATCCACTTGGATTCCTTCAATCAGAGTGCAACCATGAATGGGTGCACAAACAAAGAAGAGTGCCTCCTTTTCTTCCAAACCTTGCGGAATCGAGCTACTTAATGGTTCAACAAGCTTCGGCCAGGAAGCATTGATTCGTTCAGCGACTTGGCCTTTAAATTCAAGGCCAAGTTCCAAGAGAATTGTACTAAGAGGAAGAAGTTCACATATCTTAGTACATCCGGGCAGAGGGAATCTGAGAACCTCACTCAATTCCTTACCCGCTGGAAAGAAGAAGTAAACAAGGTTGAAGAGATGGATGACAAGGGAGTCTTGTCTCTCCTTCTGAATGGCTTGCGTGCCGGGAAACTATACAAAGAGTTCTACTGGAAACCCCCGACCACGTATTAGGAAGCCTACCATACGGCGTGGGAATTCGCGGAGAGCGAAACCCAGCTCCGGGCAAAGAAAGAAGCTGAGCATGGCTTCAAGCCCAAACCTGTGCAAGTCAAGAAGGAAGAAGCTGACACGTATTGTTCGTACCATAGGTCAGATTCCCATAAAACTTGAGAATGCAAAAGTGTTAAAGGAATCGTCCGAAAAATGATAAACAGCGGAGAACTGGGCAAGGATTATTTACAAAAAGCCCAGGAAAAGAACCACCAATGGATCAGGCCAGCAGCCTAGGGGAATGACCGGGGCAATGACCGGCGAAGGAATAACAGGCAGAGAGAGCAGCAGCCTGCCCCCGACAAAGAGCACATTGGAATGATCTTTGGCGGACCTGAAGGTGGAGATTCGGCCGCACAACAGAAGAATTGGGTCCGCAGCATTTACGTCGGAGAGGTAAGTGCTGACCGGGTAAGGCAAAAACCAAGGAGAAGGGAACCGATCGTCTTCACCGACCGGGACCTTCCAGCTACCGGTAATGACCATAAAGATCCTTTGGTAATCACCATGGACATTAATGGGGTGGATGTCGCCCGGGTACTAGTTGACACCGGCAGCAGTGTCAACATTTTGTACTTGGAGACTTTCCAGAAGCTCAGGTTGTGCCGAACACAACTTGAACCCTTGAAGACTCCTCTCTCAGGTTTCACGGGGGATACCGTGGAAGCTGAAGGGTCAATAGTCCTACCGGTCGAACTAGGATCGGGGGACAAAACCGTGTGGAAGGGGATGCAGTTCATCGTTGTGGACATCTATGTTGGAGTTGTGCCCTGATGGCCAACTGTTTATCATTATTCTATCATCTATAGGCAGATATAATATGTTTACACATCTCATGCTAATGTAAACAAATATTATATTCCTAGATTTATATTTAAAGATGTTTATCAGATAGTGTTATTCTGCTGATGAGACTAACATCTTGAAATAAATATTTATTTGAATGTCCATAGTCGAGTATTAACGAGAGTGGGATATCGTTAATGCATGTGAGACTAGTGTGTGTTGGATGTTTTGGCTTAGTCTCATAGTCAATGACGATGTGTTCGCATCCGCACATGGGCAGATATTATTTGGAGATAATAGGATGCCGGACTGACCCATCCTAAAGATGTTGCTTGAACTTTTAGTTCATGCTCTAAGCATCTTTAGCGCGACCACGGGTGTAACTATCCTTCGACTTGAAGTATTACGTTTTTTGCATATGTGAACCCGCATACTTTGATGCATCGTCCTAAGCCATATGAAATAAGGATGGTATACAGGCTTTGTTTTGGGTATGCCGCAGCGCGTATTCCGAAATGTAGATTACGTACATAGGATTTGTCACTACTCTTTTTAAAAGAGATTAATGTCTTATAGGGCCCACTGATAAGCCATGACTGAGGAAATTGCATGGCCATGCTGAGATGTTTTTATGACGTCTGTTCCTATTAGTCAGACTTGATAAATCAGTGAATGACTTAATGGATACAAGCTTGATTTTATTAATCCCTTGCATTAAGTCTAGACATTTAGACAAAGGGATATAGTTACACAGAGTCTGAGTCGTGGAAAGGTTTTGACGGTGCAAACGTCTTAACTTATAATCTGGGGGCAATAATGTGTTGCTAGATACCGCTTATTGCTTATAGTATTGGTGCAAAGCCAATACTGTGGCCAGTTTTATAAGTGCCTATACGGGTCACACACTTTGGACAATTTAAGGAGTAGGATTAAACAATGGGATAATAAGTAATTTGTATATTTGTAAAATAGTAAAATAAAATATTTTGAATATTTTATTTTGGTTTGTCATTTTAATTATGAAAATAATTAATTTGACATAAACTATTTAAAGTATGTTTTTATACTTGTTTAAAAATGATGTTGGTATTTTATTTGATTTAAAATTAATTTTATATTAATTTTTGGTGTCAAATAAAATACACTTTGAACATTTTAGTGGAGAAGAATTTTGAAAATCTTTTTCACAATCACAAAGAAAATTTTCGGCCATCATAAGGATTTTGAGAATCAAACTTTCCTTGATTGCTAATTAAGTGGCTAGTTAATTTTGTCATTTAGCTAATGACAAAATAGTTTGATTAATCACTTTGAATCTTTTGTTTTCTTTTTAAAAGGTTACACGGCACTTTGAAATAAAAAAGGGGTGAAGATTATCATTTTCATGAGTGTGTCATTCGGCCATATTTTTCTAGAGAGAAGAAATATTAGTTTGGTTCCATTAATATCATTTTGTGTAGAGAAAATATTTATAATATTTTCTAAATATTATTAGAAATATTTTCTATAGAAATGAACAAGATTATTATTATCCCAAATTTTAATCTTTATATTTTATACTACTATAATCTTTACTAGCATAAAGATTGTGGTAGACTCTGGCGTTGTTCGTGTGTCAAAGTTGGAGAGCGGACGCTTGAACGGTTACGTTTGCACTTTCAACGTTCTTTCTACGACTTCTTCGTTTTAACTGCTTACGGACAAAGGTATAAATTTCTTACTACAATATGTTTTAGTACGTGATTCTGGGGAAGATAATCATGTTAGGATGTTAAAATTTTTATATTCCGCTGCCTATCCTTGCATGGTTACCTTTCAATCTAGTGCGTCCACAACGCAATCCTTGGAAGACTGGGCATCAACAAAGTCCAGGCGATAATTTCCATGTGCCACCTATGTATGAAATTTCACACACCGGGCGGTGTGGGAGAAGTTCGTTGCGACCAGAGGAATGCCCGTGATTGTTACGCCCGGGCAGTGAAGAAGATGACGAAGGGGTCAACGTCATCTCGTAAGAAGTCACAAAGGGAGTGACCTGGGAGAAACTGGAGCCCGAAGTTGAAACGGTTGAGATCAAACTCCATTTGGGTGATCCTTCAAGGACAGTCAAAATTGGAGCGAATCTCCTAGAGGACCTTAAGGTCAAGATAACCCGGGTTCTCCAACAGTACGCAGGCATATTTGCATGGAGCGTGGCAGATATGCCTGGGATTGACCTACTCAATCATCTGCCACTGGTTGGCAGTGAGGGAAGGAAGTCGACCGGTACGCCAGAAGAAGAGGTACCTAGCTAGCAATCGTCGAGACTTTGTCCGGAAGGAGGTAAAAGACCTCCTCAGTGTTGGTCACATCTGGGAAGTCAAATACCCGGATTGGCTGGCAAACCGTGTCCTTTCCCCCAAGGGTGACACGTGGAGGATGTGCGTGGATTACACGGACTTAAACAAGGCTTGTCCGATTGATTCATACCCCTTGCCTAGCCCTGATCAAATGGTGGACAAAACTACAGGGTGGAACTCCTAAGTTTCATGGATGCCTTCAAGGGCTACCACCAAATCTACATGGCCAAGAAAGATGAGGAGAAAACATCATTCCTCACACCCAAAGGAACATACTGTTACCAGGTAATGGCGTTCGGCCTGAAGAACTCTGGAGCCACGTACCAGCGCATGATGAACAAACTCTTTAAGCCACTGCTAGGAAAGACCATTGAGGCATACGTCGACAACATACTGGTCAAAAGCTAGGTATCTCTCAAACCACCCGGCTGATATGCGTGCTTCATTTGATATCATGGCGAGATACAACCTTCAGTTGAACCCCAAGAAATGTGTCTTCGCGGTTCGTACCGAGAAGTTTTTGGGATTCATGGTGACCAAGAGAGGAATAGAGCCCAACCTAGAGAAAATTCGGGCTATCACCGAGATGCAAGCCCCTACCTCGGTTAGGGATGTACAAAAGTTGACCGGTCGTCTAGCGGCCCTCAGTCGGTTCCTGTTCCGGTTAGCTGAGAGATCCCTGCCCTTCTTCAAAGTCCTGAAGAAGGCCAACACATTTACCTGGGACGAAGACTGCGAGAAGGCATTTTAAGAATTAAAGGAGTACCTAGTGTTGGATATTGTATTGTCAAAACCTGAACCGGGTGAAACTTTGTATCTGTACCTAGTGATTTCCCCAAATGCTGTAAGCTCCGTTGTAATAAGAGATAATGGGGCACAAAAGTCCATTTATTATGTGAACAAAGCACTAAACGGAACAAAACGTAGATACACGGCGATGGAAAAGACAGCATATGCACTTTTCATCTCCGCCAAGAAGTTAACATCATACTTCCAAGCTCACGTGGTTGAGGTCTTGACCGATCAACCACTGGGTCCAGTATTGCGAAATTCAATATCCTCCAGACGGATGGTGAAATGGGCAATGATGTTAACTCAATTCAACATTGAGTACCGGCCAAGACCTGCAATCAAAGGACAAGCCCTTGCAGATTTTCTAGTGGAAATGACCGGTTTAACTCCTGACTTACCGGTCAATAAACCTATCGAGCAATGGTGGGAAATGGCCGTGGATGGGGCGTCAGGTCCTAAAGGGTACGGGGGTGCCATAGTGTTTACCACTCCAGAAGGATTCAAGATCTACCATGCGCTCGTCTTCAACTTCAAGTTAGCAAACAATGAAGCATAATATGAAGCTCTAGCTGGAGGACTCAGACTTTCTCAAGCTCTTAAAATCAACCGGGTTAGTATAAAATTTGAATCTAGTCTGATTGCTGGGCAAGTGACCGGCAACATGGAGGCAAGGGAAGGACGAATGGCACAATACAAGGATCTGGTGCTGGCCTTGTTGAAAGGCTTTGCAGAGTTCAAGATCGCCCAGATTCCTTGGGCAGAAAACGCAGACACAGATCTTCTCTCCAAATTGACGTAGTCTGCCCCTGAGCATGTTTCAAAACTTTCCCGGGTGGAAATACTTGACCGTGCTAGCATCGAGAAGCTGGAAGTTGCCACGATCGAGGGGCATCCTGACCGGTCAACCTCTAACATGGTTGGAGCAGACGACCACTGGATGGATGATCTCTTGAAATACTTGACAGACGGAAGCTTGCCAGAGCAAGATGACCGGGTGCGAAAAGTAAATCTCAGGGCACCCCGGTTCCAAGTCATTGATGGGATGCTGTACAAAAGGGCATTCGGGGGACCACTCTTGAGATGCCTGACCAACTAGGAAGCAAAGCGAGTCATAGCAGAAGTCCATGAAGGTGTGTGTGCGGCTCATCAAATGTCTCGCACCCTATCCCAGCGCATCATACTCCTAGGGTACTACTGGCCAACAATTGTCCAGGATTGTGAGAGATATGTCCATAAATGCCGGACTTGTGAGGTATTCTATAAATACCCGGGTAGGCCGGCAACCTAGTATCACCCCGTATCAAACGTCATTCCCTTCTCTTGATTTGGGGTTGATATCATCGGAGCATTTCCAATAGCTCAAGGGAGGAAGAAGTTCGTAATCGTGGCCATCGATTACTTCACCAAATGGATCGAAGCTGAAGCGTTGGCCAATATTACCACGCAGCAATGCAAGAAGTTCATTTGGAAGAACATCATCACAAGGTTTGGAGCTCCCATGAATCTCATCACCGACAACGGCCCACAATTCTGAAATCCGAGATTCACTGAATACTTGGAGGGCTTTGGGATTAAACACAATCGTTCTTCAGTGGCATACCCACAAGGAAATGGCCAAGTGGAAAACACCAACCGAAATATTGTGGATGGTTTAAAGAAGCGACTAGGAGAAGTAGGGAATAAGTGGTTGGAAGAGCTCTGATAAGTTGGTCTTGGGTTAGTTCTTTTTATTCTTTTTTAGGCATTTTTAATATTTTTAGAGTTTAATTTTTAATTTTTTAGCTAAGTTTTATTTTAATTTCTAGTTTTACATTCTTTTTATTTTCTTTCAAAATTAGTAGTTTTTTAAACACTTTTTACATTTTATTATTCCTAACCCAAATTATCAGATATCTTATTTTTTGGAGAAAAATGTAGCAAAAAGACCAAAATGCAGTTCAACTTTGGAAAGGAAAGATTGATTTTGGGCCGGAGCCCAAACCCAACACAATGGAAAATCAACCCACTCCCCCAATTTGATTTCACGTCCAGCAAGAAAGAAAAAAGAAATCCAGCAGCTTCTCCTTGTTCAATAACGCAAGCAGTGCAATAGGCGGACCAGAGCTCCGATCTTCAACGTCTCTCCGCCAAATTCCTTCAACGCTCCAACGATCCCCTACATTTATCGCTAGAATCAATTACCAACGGGAAGAAATCAACAGAACAATCCTTCGGCTATAAATTGAAGACAAATCACAGCTGAACAAAGGGGGGATCCACACGAGGAACAACGACAAGAGAGCCGCGGCCTAGCCACGGCGGTGGTGGCGGACGGCCGGCAGACGCGAACTGGCGGCGGCAAAAGCTCCGGCGAGTGGTGGGCAGTCTTCTTCTAGCTCCAATTTCTTCAATTTCATCTTCTTCTTCATCAATTGGTAACCCTATATGTTATTTCTTCAAATTTTTCTCCAATTCTATGTAAAATTGTTGTTTTTAGTTTAAATTTTACATTTTTGTTTGCTTGTTGTGTTAATTTCTAAAATTCCAAAATGGTTGGTGTTCTTTTATGAGTTTTTTAATGTTTATATATATCCTTTATGAATGAGAATCGATTCTTTCTTATTTACTACTCCCTCCGTTCCACAAAACCCTTCCCCTTTCGTTTTTTTTGGTTTCCACAAAACACTTCCACTTTCTATTAAAAAACCACTTTTACCCCTACTTTTTCATACCCTACTTATCACATCATACTTTTTCACTAATAACCAAACTATCATATCTTACTTTTTCCCATCACATCAAGGGCAAAATTGGAAAGTCAACCAAAATTACACTTTTCTTATTTTTGCCCAAAGTCAAAATGGGAATGGTTTTGTGGAACGGAGGGAGTACAATTATTGCACAAGTTGGTGTTGATTTGATTTAATTGTTTCAAATTCATAAGTAGGTTTTATGTAGAATTCGGTTTTTGTTGAAGCTATTTTAGCTCCATAAGATAGTTAAATGAACTCCGAATTCATACGTGTTTCTTTGTTGTGCTTCGTTGATTTTAAGGATTTTGGACTTCTTAGCCCCATAAGTTGATTCATTTTCCTTAGAATTCGTTATAGAGTGATTTTTTTATGTTATGTGTTTGTTTTCCATTTTCTTTAAATTGAGATTGTTTAAGTGCAATAAACAATTCTTGATTTATTGAAAATATGTTTTGTTCTTCTATGTGAATAGAAAAAACGTCATTGGTTTGAGAAGTTAATGGAAATCTGTGAAATGTGCTCTTCATTAGGAGAAAAAGTTTATTAAAATGCATAAGGTACTGGCGGTTTGTGAATATATTATGCATGAGAGTTAGAATGAAAAAAATTCGCTCTTTTATAAACTTTTTCTATAGTGGAAGTATGTTTTCATGCTTGATTGGTGAGTTGTGGTTCTTGATTTGTCTCATTATGAAATTATTGAATTACATGATTCCGGGCCGTGTGGAGAGTTGACAATCCTCCATATAGTGGTTAAGGAAATGAATCGACTCGGCCTTTGATTGTTTTTCCTATTCTTAAGTGCGTAAGTTACGTAATATATTGTCTACGTGCCTATTATACGTGTAATGTTCGATTTGTGTTTGTTCTCTTTTCTATTTTGTTTCGGGTTCTTGGCGGTGTTTCTTGGATTACCTAAGTTGGAGAAGTTGATTATCTTTTGAGCTTGTTTTCCCCCATTTTATAAAAAAGAACCAAAAAAATAAGAAAATATAAAAACCAAAAATATTTACTTTTTATTCAACCCCCCCTCGTGTTTTAAGTTATAAATATAAGTTTTTATACTTTTTAGTATATCTTAAGTATGTGTTGTATGTTTATAAGTTATATTATAAGTTCTTTGTTTATATAAGTTATATTTATAAGTTTTTGGACCGCACGACGAGTCCGCAACAAATTTTGGCGCCGTTGCCGGGGAAAGTTTTTTACGAAATCAGTTTAGTATGTCTTTGTGTTCTTTGTTCTTGTTTGTGTGGAACCATGTTGATAAAGGCAACGCAAATCATGTGCTCAAAAAGTTTTTCAATCTAAAAAGTTGAGAGAAATATGAAATCAGCATTGTTCTTTGCGTTCGTGCTAAAAATTGTGCCCGTTATGCTATTTTGTGAAGAATTTGGTACCATTCAAAAAAAAATTGCACTTCGAGTGTAAAATTTTATGAACTGAATTGCTTGGTTATTTCATTGATATGTCAAAGTATATATACAAGAGTTCCGGGCCCAACATGACAGGCCCAATATACGATAATACAATATAAACATATATACATAATGCTAACACTCCCCCTCAAGTTGGAGCATGAACATCAAAAATGCCCAACTTGGATGAAAGAGAACGAAAAAGCGGCCCCGGTAATGCCTTGGTAAAAATATATGCAGTTTGCAACCGTGTAGGAACATAGGCAGTAACAATATGGCCACGCTGGATACACTCCCGGACAATATGACAATCAATGTCAATGTGCTTGGACCGTTCATGAAAAACTGGATTAGCTGCAATGAAGAGCGCAGACTTATTGTCACAATACAGTCTAGGAATTGCAACACAAGGGACGGCGAGTGCGGCAAGTAAACCTCTGAGCCACCGGATTTCTGCACATGCATTAGCCATGGCACGATACTCCGCCTCTGCTGAAGAACGTGAAACTGTAGTTTGCTTTTTAGTTCGCCAAGAAATAGGAGAACCACCAAGCAAGACAAAATAACCTGTCACAGACCGTCGAGTCATCGGGCAACTCGCCCAATCGGAATCGGAGAAGGCAGTTAGGGCGAGATCACTATCACTGCGTAAGAGAATGCCCTGTCCCGGATGCCCCTTGAGATAACGGAGAACACGCAAGGCGGCATTCCAATGATCTAACTGTGGTTCCTGCATAAATTGAGACAAGGTATGGACCGCATAACAAATATCTGGCCTAGTAATGGTCAGGTATAGTAAACGACCGACCAGCCGGCGGTACTTCGCCGGATCCCGCAACGCAGCACTAATGGAACGAGCAAGATTGTGAGCACACGGCATTGGTGTCTCAGCAGGCTTGCAACCGGACAAATTATGCTCTTGAATAATGTCAAGAGTATACTTTCGCTGATTAAGGACCATACCAGAAGAGTTCCGGGCACATTCAATACCCAAAAAATAAGAGACCGGGCCGAGATCTTTGAGCTGAAAACAATCATCCAGATACCGCTTGAAGGAAGAACATAATGATGGATTATTACCTGCAACTAGGATATCATCAACGTAGACCAANCAAAACCACAAGCATATCAGGCCCACGATTCAGAACAAAGAGAGTGTGATCAGCATGTGCCTGACGAAAACCATAGCTGCGAAGTGCGTGACGGAGCTTAGCAAACCAGTTCCGGGGAGACTGACGAAGCCCATATAAAGACTTCCGCAACCGACAAACCTTCCCCGGAAATAAATGAGTATAACCTGGAGGAACCTTCATATAAATCTCGTCACTAAGGTCCCCATGCAGGAAGGCATTATTCACATCCAGCTGATCAACCTGCCAACCCCGTGCAACGGCAACGGATAATAAAACACGAACAGTAGCTAACTTAGCTACGGGGGCGAAGGTGTCAGTGAAGTCAATGCCCAATTCTTGGTGATTCCCCAGTACTACCAGACGAGCTTTGTCCCGTTCCTTCGTGCCATCAGATTTATATATAGTACGGAACACCCATTGACACCCAAGGGCCCTGCGATGCGGTTGTAGTGTAGTGATGTCCCAAGTATGGTTCCGGACCAAAGCATTAAACTCCTGTGCCATAGCCTGCTCTCCAAGAGGCATACTGTACAGCTTCCTTAAAATTTTTAGGAACCGGGGAAGCATCAATTGCACCAAGAAAACCTCTGTACCTGTCATGCAACTTATCATAATGAACATAGTTAGTAATGGGGAACCGAGTACCTGACAAGATCGAACCAGATGAAGAAGAGAGCAGAGTATCAACTGTTGCGGAATTAAGGACATAATCACTCAGATGAGAAGGTAGACGACGGGTACGTGGGGGTAAGGGGACTGGAGAATCGGAGGGAGAAGTGGTCTCCCCCGAGGTAGATGACGGACTGACGGACGGAACGTTGCTGGTCGGCGACGGAGAAGGAGTGGGAGACGGTGGCGGGCTGTCGGGTATGACAGCAGTGACTGGAGTGGACTGCTCGGCGGGAGTAACGTGACTGGGCTGCTCGGCAGTCGGGTTGAGGGACTGTGACGGAGGGACAGGAAAGTCCTCCGCGGACGGATTAAGAACAGGCGAAGGAGAAGGAGAAGAGGCCTGGACAGCGAACGGGAATTGAGTTTCGTCGAAGATGACATCCCGGGTGTGAAAAAAACTATGAGTGTCAAGATTATAAACCCGCCACCCTTTTGTACCGAAGGATACCCAACAAACATACATTTGACACTACGAGGAGAGAATTTATTTGTGGGTTTAGGATTGAGACGAACAAAACATAAACAACCAAAGACGCGGAGGTGACTTAAATCTTGAGGCTTTGAAGATAAAATTTCCAACGGGGATTTACCTCCAAGAAGTTTAGTAGGAGTACGATTAATCAAATATACTGCCGTTTTGACACATTCCCCCCAAAACTCAACGGGTAAAGAGGCCTGAAACATAAGAGAACGAGCAACATTTAAAATATGACGGTGTTTGCGCTCGACCCGACCATTCTGTTGTGGGGTACCAACACATGAAGTTTGTATACACANAAGGATACCCAACAAACATACATTTGACACTACGAGGAGAGAATTTATTTGTGGGTTTAGGATTGAGACGAACAAAACATAAACAACCAAAGACGCGGAGGTGACTTAAATCTTGAGGCTTTGAAGATAAAATTTCCAACGGGGATTTACCTCCAAGAAGTTTAGTAGGAGTACGATTAATCAAATATACTGCCGTTTTGACACATTCCCCCCAAAACTCAACGGGTAAAGAGGCCTGAAACATAAGAGAACGAGCAACATTTAAAATATGACGGTGTTTGCGCTCGACCCAACCATTCTGTTGTGGGGTACCAACACATGAAGTTTGTATACACACACCCATTGAGTCATAATAGTGGCGTAAAGAGGTATTTAGAAATTCAGTGCCGTTGTCAGAACGAACGACCTTGATGACTTTAGTGTATTGGGTGTGAATCATTGAGAAAAACCGTTGGAGACAGGAAGTAACTTCACTCTTTGTACGAATAAGGTACACCCAAACAGCCCTGGAAAAATCATCCACAATAGTGAGAAAATAATGAGCACCAGATGACAAGCAAGCAGTATATGGCCCCCATAGATCACAATGAATCAAATCAAAAACGGCTTGAGCTTTATTATGACTAACAGAAAAAGACGACCGAGTTTGATTGGACATAAAACAAATCTCACAGGTTTGAAGTTTCTTGACAACAGATTGGGATTTATTAAAATTGAAGAAAGAAAAAATATCAGATGATGGATGACCTAAGCGTTGGTGAAGGAGAAACGGATCAATTTGAGCAGCACTGGCCGACGCAGGAAAGGAAGCAAAGTGATAAACTCCGTTCTTTAGTTCACCCTGTCCAATCACCATCTTTGACGAACGGTCCTGTATTACACAACCATGAGCATTAAAAATTACATGACAAGGAGTATCCCGTATCAAGCATCCTACAGATATTAAATGGCAGTGCAAAGTAGGAACAAAGAAAACATGATGAAGCACCAAATGAGGAGATAGCCGAACACTTCCCTTCTTTGTAGCTTGAATACGAGATCCATCAGGTAGACAAATGGGACGAGGAGGTACATCCATTATATCAAACAGATGAGACAAAGTGCCCGTCATATGGTGAGAGGCACCACTATCAATCAACCACTCACAAGAGGTAGAGTTCATTATTAATATATTTGTTCTGACCAAACAAATACTTGTGCGACCAAATATTACCAGTAGCAAATTGACCACTCACTTCAACCAACAAACACCCACTAATTACTCAAATTCCAATTAGCCAAAAAATAACCAAACCAACGGAATTGCAACTGGCGGCGAAACCTGGACGGACTGGAATTACCAGACGATTGGAAGAGCAGCGACTGGTTGGAATTACCGACAGACTGGAAATACCGGCGACGGACTGGACGGACTGGGCACACCGACGGTCTGGACGGACTGGGCAGCGACTGGACTTAATGGACAGAGGCGCTACTGAACAGTGATGATGGCGAGACAGACTACCGGCGACAAGGGGACAGACCTGCCCGGCGACGAAGAACGGATGGTGACGGGACGAAGAGCAGCGGCGACAGTAAACGGACGACTTCTAGGGTTTGACGTAACTTCCCAGAAAAATGCTCCGATACCATGTAAAATTTTATGAACTGAATTGCTTGGTTATTTCATTGATATGTCAAAGTATATATACAAGAGTTCCGGGCCCAACATGACAGGCCCAATATACGATAATACAATATAAACATATATACATAATGCTAACATCGAGTACTTTTTTTAGCATGCTTATTTGATGATTTTTGACTTTTAAAGGGCACATATGCTTATTTTGGATAATCTAGGTGATGTTTTCTCAACAGCTCTTATTTGTCAATGCCTATTTGAAAAACCTACACTATTTGAAAGCAGCTTTTGAGGTTACGAATGCAATAGCAATAGCAAACTGAAAGCTATTTTTTATTGACTGGATTGCTGAATTTGTGCTCAATTTGCTATTTTTGTGAGACTTTTGGCCAATTTTTCATAAAAATTGCCTTTTGAAACTAATATTCATTACTTTTACTTGCTGATTTTTGTTTTTATTGATCATACTTGTTGCATTTGAATGACATAAGTGCTGAGTTGTTTCACTTTTGATGTATGCAACACGTGTATACTCATTTTTATAAGCATTGAATCATTTGAATGCTGTTCTTGCTGAATTTCATAAGCTATGCTTGCTGAATTTTTAAAAAAATCTGCACTTTTTTACTTAGCTTATATGCTGATTTTCGTTCCTTGGAGTCCTCCTTTGCTTCAAATATGAAATATAATTGATATATCTTGCTTGGGGGAAATATTTTGAAGCATATCGTAATGTTTTCATACTGATTTTGAAGCTTAAGTGCTAATTTTAGAAAAAATCTGATCCAAAGTGCCATTTTTAAAGAAGAAATTAGCAATCTTTTCTTGATGTTTAAGCTGATTTTTGAGTTCCTTAAATGCTTATGTGCCTAAACATGAATCCTGATTGTTAAAACTTGCATAGGAACTCATTCGAAGGCACATAGCATGACTTTACATTCATATTTTGATCCATACATGCTGAATTTTGTACTAGAAGGGCTAAAAGATCAAGAAAATCTGTTTTTTCAAATTTGCTTTAGCTTCATATGTTGCATACTTGAATCTGATTTTTGGTTCCTAAATGACCATCTAGTGATAATCTTGGTGTAGAAACTGCCAACCAAAGCTGAATTTGAGAGCATATGTGGATTTTTACTCTTTATTTGTTTTAAAGAAACACTTTTACTTCACTCTATTACTTGATGGCTTAATTGAATATATTTGTTGGTGAGTAAAAGTTTCGTCTAGCCAAAGACGTTAAACCGGACGGCTTATGGGAGGCAACCCACATACTTTTATTGCTCTTTATTTAATTTGTATTATTGATTGCTTATTAATCTTTTGGTTTTGTTAAAAACACAAACAAAAAAAATGAGAATAATAAAAAAAAATGTATAAAATCAAAACAAAAAAAAGTGATCTTGTTGAGCTTAATTGTTTATTTTTACTTTACTTGTGCTTCTAACCATCTACTTTGAGTGAGAATGCAAGATTGATTGAGTTTTAGGTGGAAGCATAGGTGTTTGGAGTAAAAGACTGCACAATAAGGTGCAAAAATCTGTTTTGAAATGTCAACTCTAAGTGCCCGGGCTGATTTTTTGGGTACTATTGGAAAAAATCTGCACTTCTCTATTTGATTTTTGGGCTATAAATTGGAAATATGCACCTTGTAAGCTTGTTTTTTAGTGCAGAATGAAAATTCTACACTTTTCACGGCTTATATGTGCTAAATTAGAAAAAAATCTACATTCTTTAAATCTGATTTTTATGTCTTCAAAGCTAAAAAACTTGGTCTTAGCCTTCTTTTTGCAGATTTTTAGGTCCAAAGAGCAAAATAAGGAACGGGAAATGAATAATTGATGCGGCGTATACTTTTTAGTTGAATCTCCCCTTTCCCCTTCTCCCCTCGCTAAGTCTGTGCTTACTTAATATTGCCATATCATATAGATGCATTGGGGACTATGCAGATTTTAAGTGTGGGGGGAGGTGTCATGCTTGTGTCATTGCTTGAAAAAAACTTTTGTGGCAATTTTTTTTTCAAAATAGGTTTTGGGTCCAAATATTTCCATTCTTAGTTGCATATCTTCTTATTTAGATCTTTGTTTTCAAAATTGACCCAAAAACCTCATTGTTTTTCTTGGGGCTTTATTCTGAAAGATAGCAAGTGTATACTTTATAAACCCGCATTGAGTCTTATGCTCTTTTCTTGGTAAAAAATGACCTTAAAATGTTTGAAATCCTTCTAGGAATCCCGTAAAATTTTGTTTTCTAGAACTGGCCATCCACATACTTCTAGGAATCCCGTAAAATTTTGTTTTCTGAAAAAGAAGAAAAATCAGTTTTAGGAGCCCTTTTTAGAAATTGTGTGATTTTTTATTTAGGTTTTCTTATGAATAATTTTGCTACCGTTGCCATTGAGCCGTTTTGAAGCATAGGACTCCCTTAGAAGCTTTTTTGTGGCAACTTTAGAGCATTTTTTTTTAGAACCCAAATAATCCATATTTTAGATCTCCATCTTTATAGGATTTTTAGCTCACTTTGTTTTTAAAATGCTATGGGCATGAAATCTTAAGTGTGAGCGTGTAAGGTGCATTTTGCTCTTCTTGATGATGATATAAATTAATTTGTTCCTTTTTGGTCTTTTGAACGAGGACGTTCAAGTCTTAAGTGTGGGGGTATTTGATAAGTTGGTTTTGGGTTAGTTTTTTTTATTCTTTTTTAGGCATTTTTAATATTTTTAGAGTTTAATTTTTAATTTTTTAGCTAAGTTTTATTTTATTTTCTAGTTTTACATTCTTTTTATTTTCTTTCAAAATTAGTAGTTTTTTAAACACTTTTTACATTTTATTATTCCTAACCCAAATTATCAGATATCTTATTTTTTGGAGAAAAATGTAGCAAAAAGACCAAAATGCAATTCAAGTTTGGAAAGGAAAGATTGATTTTGGGCCAGAGCCCAAACCCAACACAATGGAAAATCAGCCCACTCCCCCAATTTGATTTCACGTCCAGCAAGAAAGAAAAAAGAAATCCAGCAACTTCTCCTTGTTCAATAACGCAAGCAGTGCAATAGGCGGACCAGAGCTCCGATCTTCAACGTCTCTCTGCCAAATTCTTTCAACGCTCCAACGCTCCCCTACATTTATCGCTAGAATCAATTGCCAACAGGAAGAAATCAACGGAACAATCCTTCGGCTATAAATTGAAGACAAATCACAGCTGAACAAGGGGGAGGGGGGAACACACGAGGAACAACGACAAGAGAGCCGCGGCGGCGGCGGCGGGCGGCCAGCAGATGCGAACCGGCGGCGGCAAAAACCTCCGGCGAGTGGTGGGCAGTCTTCTTCTAGCTCCAATTTCTTCAATTTCATCTTCTTCTTCATCAATTGGTAACCCTATATGTTATTTCTTCAAATTTTTCTCCAATTCTATGTAAAAGTGTTGTTTTTAGTTTAAATTTTACATTTTTGTTTGCTTGTTGTGTTAATTTCTAAAATTCCAAAATAATTGGTGTTCTTTTATGGGTTTTTTAATGTTTATATATATCCTTTATGAATGAGAATTGATTCTTTCTTATTTACTTCAATTATTGCACAAGTTGGTGTTGATTTGATTTAATTGTTTCAAATTCATAAGTAGGTTTTATGTAGAATTCGGTTTTTGTTGAAGCTATTTTAGCTCCATAAGATAGTTAAATGAACTCCGAATTCATACGTGTTTCTTTGTTGTGCTTCGTTGATTTTAAGGATTTTGGACTTCTTAGCCCCATAAGTTGATTCATTTTCCTTAGAATTCGTTATAGAGTGATTTTTTTATGTTATGTGTTTGTTTTCCATTTTCTTTAAATTGAGATTGTTTAAGTGAAATAAACAATTCTTGATTTATTGAAAATATGTTTTGTTCTTCTATGTGAATAGAAAAAACGTCATTGGTTTGAGAAGTTAATGGAAATCTGTGAAATGTGCTCTTCATTAGGAGAAAAAGTTTATTAAAATGCATAACGTACTGGCGGTTTGTGAATATATTATGCATGAGAGTTAGAATGAAAAAAAATCGCTCTTTTATAAACTTTTTCTATAGTGGAAGTATGTTTTCATGCTTGATTGGTGAGTTGTGGTTCTTGATTTGTCTCATTATGAAATTCTTGAATGACATGACTCCGGGCTGTGTGGAGAGTTGACAATCCTCCATATCGTGGTTAAGGAAATGAATCGACTCGACCTTTGATTGTTTTTCCTATTCTTAAGTGCGTAAGTTACGTAATATATTGTCTACGTGCCTATTATACGTGTAATGTTTGATTTGTGTTTGTTCTCTTTTCTATTTTGTTTCGGGTTCTTGGCGGTGTTTCTTGGATTACCTAAGTTGGAGAAGGTTATTATCTTTTGATCTTGTTTTCCCCCATTTTATAAAAAAGAACCAAAAAAATAAGAAAATATAAAAACCAAAAATATTTACTTTTTATTCAACCCTCTCGTGTTTTAAGTTATAAATATAAGTTTTTATACTTTTTAGTATATCTTAAGTATGTGTTTTATGTTTATAAGTTATATTATAAGTTCTTTGTTTATATAAGTTATATTTATAAGTTTTTAAATTTATTTAGTTATAAGTTTTATTATAAGTTTTATAAGTGTTATCATATTATGTAGTAGTTTGTTTTTTTATTTTATTTCGTGACAACGTGTTTGCATACTAAATTGGTTTTAAAAAATAAAAACTTTCTTCGTGTGATCGACCCTTACTTGCCCTAGCTATAGTTTTAGTTTGTTTATATCTTGGGGGTTAGCTAAGGATATTAATAAATTTTTTAATTTGCTTTGGACCGCACGACGGGTCCCCAACAAGCTCCCACACATCATATGGGCATTTCGGGTAACACCCAGGAGGGCTCATGGGGAAACTCAATTCTCCCTAACCTATGGGTGTGAAGCGAGATTCCCCATCAAAACCGAGTTTCCGACATTCAGGTAGACAAACTACCAACCTCAACAAAACGAAGAAGATCACCTAGCCGAGCTCAACTTGGTTGAGGAGCGGAGGATGGCTGCAGAAGTCAAAATGAGCACTTACCAACAAGTCGTAAAAAAGTACCACGATAACAAGGTGGGGCTGCGTTACTTCCAAGTTGGTGATGAAGTCCTGCGAAGAAGGGAAGCTAGAAAACTGGGTGATGGGGGAAAGCTATCAAAGAATTGGGAAACCCCATACCGGGTGAGAGATATTATTCGCCCGGGAACCTACTGGCTAGAAAGTCTAGAGGGTCAACCGGTGGAAAGAACTTGGAATTTTCATCTTATGAGAAAATTTTACAAATGATTGTAATACTAGAAAAGGCCTATCTCTATTATCAAACAATCGAATTGATGATGTTCAACACTCTACAAGGTGGAAGCAGAAATGATAGGTCCAACCTATCCAAGGGGGGCTTCCCGGGTGGATTGAGTCCGCTCAGATAAGCCAACTGAGACAGGCCCGGACCTGGCACGCTGGTTACTACACCGGTCTTGCTCAGTATAATAAAAAAATGGAAACCCGGAGAGGGGCCCCGGATAAGGGGTATGCCTTCAAGAAGGCTGGATCTGGAAGAAGGTTCGAACCGTACTTACACAGGCCCATGAAGTTTGACCGGTATCAGGGAATCAACCGAGACTGTCAAACTGATTGGGGACTAAAAGATGCCCATTAAAAAAAATAGAAGTGGATCGTCCACCGTGATGCATCGTATTCCGACCGGTTCGGACTCCCCCTTCTCAGGGAAGACTTGAACGGGAGGGTGAGCTAAGGCCTTCCCGGGATAGTAGAAATCAAAGGGCCATTAAAAGACTTAATCACCCGGAAGAGGGGGCCCTGGAAGAAGGGTGCATTTGAACCTTAGAGAGGGTTCGAAATCATTCAACATGGTTAAATCTCTTGTATTCTTACGGGTTAAGGATATTTTAAGAATCTACTAGGCTACAGGTGTCCCCATCTACAACCTACTGGTCAAGCACAAATAAAAGAAAAAGGAATACCCCGGTTGGGTGTTTATACAAAAGAACTTCGAAAGTTCCTCAGCCGAGTCAAATAACCGATCAGATCCTGAAGAGGGCACTTACCGGTTAAATTGAAGTTGATCATGAGAAGATATTCAAAGCAAAACTCGAAGGAGGCTTGATAAATATTTTCTACCGGTCAATGTTCCTATGATGACATTCTAAGGGATAAAAGCAGGATATCAGACAAGAATCATTTGAAAGAGCAAAGATAATCGGGTAACAAAACAAACATATCATTCATCAACAAGAGGATGTTTAATGTTTACAAATACATCGGGCATAACTGGGTAAATGAAGATGTTTTAAATATTACAAGATTAACTGGACGCAGCCGGGGAGGTCTACTCTAGGGGGAAAGGAGGGGCAAGCTCTTCTTCGGGAATGGAGGCCACGCCATAAGATTCGGAAGTAAAGTTTGGATCCCGGTCAGCCAAGAATTCGTGCTTTGCCTCCCGGTCTCTTTTCTGGCCTGACATGAAGCCAAAAGAACCTTTGTCCGTCATCATCTCTTTCCCACGCTCCTCCCGGTAGAGTAGCTTGAAGCCCTCCATTGTCTTTTCGGGAGTGGAGGTGAGCACCCGGGCAGCCTCTACCAGGTTCTCCCCCATCCATTGGTGGGCTCTGCCGAGAAACTCCTGCTCCTTCTGCTCCGCATCCTCCTTCAAATTGGAGACCTCCCCCATCAACTGAAGGTTTTCCTTCTTCAAGTGGAGGTTCTCTGCCCCAACCTTGCCGGCTTGACTGGAGAGGTTGGCCATCTCATCGATCTGGCGGGCAATCACCTCCTGTAGCTCCCGGTTCCGCTCCTCAGCTTCCCTGAGCTTCTCTTTAAGTTTGGACGACCGGGAGGGGGAGCCTTCTGATAGTTGCTCCAAGGCATCTGACCCAACTTCGCCAATCTGAAAGAAACGAAAAGAAGGTTAGAAGGAATTCACGGGAAATAAATCAGAATGCGACATACCGGTCGGATACTACCTTTTTCAGCTTGAGCCCCATCTTCACCCAAAGCTCTTCCAATGATGGGGTGACCGGGACATCCTCCCCCCCCCCTTCCTCTTCGCCGACGGATGGGTGGTGGCCGCTTTCTTGATCCTGGTCTTTCCCTTCCCCTTGTTGGTGGGAGGATTCCCCGCCGTCTTCCTGGACTGGGGGGAGTTTCCTCCTCAGAGTGGATCTCAACAGTTTCCTGTTAGACCGGGACGGTCTTCGCAAAAGATGCGTGTGGGCCAGAAGAAGAAGACGCGCAGGTCTTCTTCGGGATGCTAAAGGATCTGAAGTTCATGTATGCGGAAATAACGCAAAACATAAGTACTGAAAAAAGCACCGGTATAAATGAAGAAAAAAATGGGAATGATTGATACCTGGGTGACTTGGGGCCCCGGCCTCTGCAGTGTTGCCCGGGGAGGGTACCCCGTGCCCCGCTGCTTCATGGGCCCGAGAGGTACCCTCGCCACCCGGTTGGATGCGCCAGACCAAGCTTCCGTAATGGTACATCTGCCCGGTGAAGGGGTCCCCCTTGAGAAGCTTCTCCAGATTCTCCTCCAAGTCCAGATCGGTTGCCGGTTCGGTGTATTCTTGTTTGAGAAGGTTGTCGCTCCACCTCAAACCGGCCAGAGGAGTAACGGAGGGAGGAAATCTTATAAAAACAAATTTTTCCTTCCACAACCGGTTGCTTTGTGGAAGGTTAGTGATGAATTTGCGATTGTTCCACCCCTTGAAGTAGATGAAACCTTCACAACCCGGTTTCCCAGGACGCACCTCAAAAACGTAAAGGAAAAGGCGTATAGAGGGATCGATGCGAAGGTAGTGGCAGATATTTACAAAGGAATTGAGGAGCCGGTGGGCGTTCGGTGTGATATGCCACCCTCTAAGGAAGCGATGTGAAAACCTATCCTATCCTCCCGGTGAGGTTCGATAATGTTGGGCCAGTTTTCATCATATTCGAGAAGATAGCCCTCCGGGAGGTTCCTACAGGCCTTATTTAAAGCTATTTTTGAGACGTAGGGGTGGATGTCGGCGGCATAAATGGTGGGGAGGGGAGAGTAACCGGCTGTTTCCAACCTTTCCTCCCACTGCAGCTAGGACTCGGTGTCCGGATCATAGGGAGCCGGTTTGTCATCAACCGGTTCGTCCCCCTCCATAGACACTTGACCAGGCATTTGATTGACCAGCTCCGGCTCAAGAACGGAAGGGATGGGAGCCGGTCTAGGTTCAAAATCAGAAGAATAATACCCGGTCGAAGAAGAGGAGGTCGAAGAATCCTCAGATGAGTAGGAATCTGAGGACGAGGGGTTTTGGCTATCTGAAGCAGACATAACCGGGAAAAGGAATAAAGAAAGGAAGAAGAGCTTACTTGGCTTGGAGGGCTGGGAATTTAGCGCAGAGGACTTGACTGGTGAAACTCAGAAGACGCGCACGCGAGAAAGTGAAGAAACGAATGGGGTGAAGGCCTTTATATAGGCGAGGAAGAATCGAAGGATGGCGACGTGGCTTCCTCAAAGCGCGCCGCGTCAGGCGGCGCCATCATTGCACCTGGGGAGACGAACGCGCAAGATTGAAACCACGTCTGGTACGCGACACGTGTCGAATCCAATACTTTTCAAATTCAAATTTTGAAAATATTTAGCGGGAAAGGCCTAAAATTTGAATTTTGGGTCCGTTTCTCAGAATTTTACTTCCCGCCCATAATATTTTACATGGCCGAGAAGTGGAGGGCTTATTGATGGGTGTAATCCACCCAGAACTGGTCAAAGGGAATGTCCAAATATTTGATCGGTCAAATTGAATATTCTTGAAAGAGAGATCTCTATCGTCAGTGAGAGGAAGCTTGGTTGACCAAAAAAGTTGACCGGTATACTTCAGATAGTATACCGGCCAAACCACTTTATTGTCTTTTTCATCCCTTAAACTCAGCTTACCTATCCCTTAGGAACTACCCGGTACGGTTTCTAGGGTTGGAGAGTGTCGGCAGAGAAGAATCGAAAGTAGTTTGGACCATAGCGACCAAGATCAGCAGAGGATCGCTGGAGATGCTTGAACATTCCATCCGAAATGCTACACGACAAGGGAGCGATCTTCCTCGCAAGGTGATAAAACAGTTAAAGGACGAAGGCCATCACCTCACACCACACAGAAACGTGCCTCAACGTGGGTACACAGCGTCCCGTCCCCTTCAAGCCTAGTATATATACAGCTGTAACCTTCAAAGAAAGGGATCCGAATTCATTCTCTCTAAAACACCCTTGTAAAAGCTCTCGTGTATTCTCTGATATTTATAATATCAATTGGGATACATGTGTTTCCATCTACAGTCCTCCCGGTCATTTGTGTGTTTTTACCTTTTTAATTTCCGAATCAAGTAAACGATCCTAGACCCGGTCTAGTATAGTTTACCCGGTTAGGTAATTTACACCATCAGTGATGTTTTGTTGTCTATCTATAATGAATATTATTGTTGTTTTCGACTTCAGACTCCTATTGCGTGGTGTTGTCGTTCAACACTATAGACATCTTATTTCAAAAGTAGTTGAAAGATATATCAGACTGCTGCTTAGAAGACTACTAAATAAAAATAGCATGAGACAACTATTATCTTGTGTTATATTTCTAAAATATAGACTACTAACTTTTTTTGTATTTTAAACAACCGTTTCTTGCACTTTTATAGAGCTCAATAACACTACGCTTTTTTGTAATTGTCCTTGAAATATTGAAACTATATTTTTACACAGTAGTCAGATTGTTAATCAGACTACTGTTCCGAAGACAAGTAAGTATGTTTGCATAAGACAACTGCTATTGTGCGTTGTATTTGTAAAATGTAAACAACTATCTTTGTTGTATTTCACATAATTGTTTATTTGTATTGTCTAACGTGTATTTACAATACAGGTTCGTGTAGTTGTCCTTTAAAGATTTAGAAACTGTTTTAATATATTGTAAAGCTGTTTGAAAGACTACTATATATCAATTTACATTTATATTTAATAAATAAAATTTATTTCAATTACAAAATATTGATCATGAAACAAAAATAAATTCTAAAATGTAGAATATATTGAATAATATCTAAATACATACAATCCAAGTCTAAATAGCATCCAATAATTTAATATTTACATAATTAAAATCACACTCTAGTTGTCCATTCAGCATGCCTAATTTAGTTATTTGTCCCCTCAATAACATTTTTGAATACATCTCTTGCTCTAGCAACATTTTCTTGTAAAGCATCCACTTTAGTCCTCAATCTGCATACCATTAAATAATTAATATTTATTGATAAGAGGAAATAGTTCAGAACACAAATACTTGAAACTTTTTGGAGTTATTTGCTAGCTAAATACCTCCAAAGTAGTTCATATGCATCTATTTAACAATTGAAGTTCATAATTCAGCTTAAAATTAAAGCAAAGCTGCAGAGTTTTCTAAATAAAAAATAATTCAGTTTAGATTTTAGTCAAAATCAACACTTAAAATTCAAAAATCAATATATAAACACAATGTCATGCTTCTACATATGGTCTATAAGCAGGATGTATCAATGATAGTCAAAATCAACACTTGTGCTTGGATTGGTGTGGGAGAAGTGAATCGAGCAAAACAAAGTTGCAAGAAAATTATAAACATAATCTATACCAACAAAACATAATGTGGAGAACACTCTTGGATGTGCATTGATAATATTAGAAATACAAGCCTGAGATTTCAAAAATGGATCCAAACATTGAGAACGATTAAATAATAATAATAAACTAAATTGAAAAATGAACAAGGATCCCAAATAAGGTTTGAAGGAATGCAGCTGCTTACAGAAGCAACTCAAGGCAACAAAATAGAGCAATTAACCTTCAAGAAGCTATGCATGAGGCTTCAACTATCCACTTTGCAGCCTCAAAAAACTCAATATACTGGTTGTGGAAGTGTATGAGCAGTTCATAGCAATACAACGTACGATATGTGCTCTTCCTCCGGAGCAGATATCGCACCTGCGACAAGTGACAACAGTAGGTCTGGTCTGTAGGTCCAATGTCAAGGATAGTACACTTACATCTCTAAGTATTTATGGAGGAAAACCAGTAACCTCAAATGTGATGAACGGATCCTGAACGTTTTCACCCTAGATAATAAAATAGTAGGGAATCAATGTCAATTGAGAAATAAACTGAATCCAAAAGGAGGATGAATCGTAGACTTCAAGAGATGAAAGCAATGTGAGTATAAGCACACGGATCACTATCTGTAACAGCTTTGAAGTTTAAACATAGGAAGATCTAAGTACGTGCAAAATCATGTATTTCTCATAACATGCTAAGATTGCAAACTAAATCACAAGTAATAAAGTGCATGAAGGTGAAATGATAAAATGATGCAGGGAGATCAAAATAAATATCACACTGGAAATAGCGTTTGAGCATTACGATTCTAAAAGCTTAAGCCATACAACTCAGTAAACTATAGAGAATGCATTTCATAGTGTCTTCCTCATGAGCTAGCTACATAGGAATCAACTTTTGTCATACTATCTACAACCTGATACACCTCATACAATCCCAGCTAAATCAATGATGAGAAACATTAAAATATACAAAGCATTGACGTGATAGAATACACGGTATTAAATAATACAAACCATTGTAGTGATTTCTTGTTTTTTACGATAAACCTCAGCGTCAGGACGTCCCATAGAAGTTGGGGGGGGGGGGCATTTGGGCGATTGTTGAAAACGGGGGTCCACCGCCACTGGTTGCTTGACCATAAATATTATGTAATGGGGAGGGTGTGTGCATGCATACATTCTCCCTACTCAAAAGAAAAAATCATAGGCAACCGTGGTTCACAACCCATCCAAACAGCAAAAATAACAACGATGCAAAAACTAAAACAGAGATGCAAATTGAGTGATGTAACGCCCCAAAACATACCCTAGAATTATTAATGAACAAATAATCAATTAATCAAATTTGTTTTGATTAAAATAACTTATTGTTGGGCTTTGGGCCGAAACGAAATGTGTTTTGACATCCAATATCAAAATCTGGATAAGTCTCATAGAGATAAATCCAATATGTGGACTATTTGTGTGATCTTAATTGAGAACCTGAGTACAGACCCAAATCAAGAGTAAATAAAGAATTTGTTTAGAATGTAAATATTGAAATGATTTCATAAAATAAATCATGAGAATAATTGATATGAATTAAATGAGAGAACCTTTGATGAGAAAAGTCCATTACACCAATTTTGACTCTGTCAAAGTCAAACACCCAAAAATATGATGTCGGAAAAAAGTATTACAAATAAATATAAAAATTATATAGTTGGATAGAGTATAACTGCCCGATCGCAATGGTGCAAACGGAAGTCAATTTGGAGAAAGTTGGACCACAAAGTGTACCCCGACGGGAACCAAAATTGGTCCCAATCAGTGAACGGCGTGTGAAATCCCACAAATCCGCCGTCCTGCGCACTAAATCGATCACCAACGAAGAAATGGAATCCTGAGTCACACCCATGTCTTCTTCTTCACTTCTTCTCCTATAAAAGGAACCCAATCTCATCTATTTCTTCATCAAATCTCTTCAAATAAACTTTGAGAAGAAGCTGTGAGTATAGAGAACAAAGTGGTGCTGTCAATTTGGGGTGAAGTCGCTGGAGCTAGCCACAAACCTCGCTGGAAGTTTCACCGGAAAATTCTCAAAACCTTCGATAAGCTTTGAGGTAAGCCCGTAGATATATCTAATGACTAGAATGTTCGTATAGATCGTTTCTACGTTCATAAACGATCGTTTGGTTGAGTTTTGTGTTTGACATGCTTGAAGAATCAAGAATCATAAACCATGAAAATGATGTTAAAACTATGAATTAATAATACCAAAATGATCTATGAACCTTGGAGAACATCTATATATAGTTTCGTTGAAGTTCGATGACTAAAAAGGGGATTTCCGAAAAATGGGCCAAAGGTTGAAGAAGATGAAGAGTAAGCTGAATAACACTGTCTGGATCGATCCTCTGCGAAGATGTTTACATATCATGGATCGATCTAGAGCGCTGGATCGATCCCCTGAAGTTCTGATCCGAAAATTTGCCCGAAATTGCTATTTTTCAGCTCTAAAATCCTATTTTTGATACCAATTGATTATGATTATTTTAAGGATGATTCTTTACAATAAAAATGATGCTTTTAACAAATAAAAATGTTATGTGATGCATGACGGTATGTTCGGGTGTTAACACTCGAAACTAGACCGCTATTTGTTATCAATTGATATGTTGATTGATGATTATGATGAATGATTATTATGGATGATTATGAATGATGAACTTACTGATGAAAATTATTATTTACGATTGAACCATAAGTAAAATGAATATATTGATAATTATTAAACGATTTGTATTGTTAACAGTATCTAGATTACTCTAAGATATACCCATTAGTAAATTGATGTTAAAGCTATCTGGAAGACCTCTAGAATAGATCTTGTATTAGAATAGACTTATGAAAACATGAATATTTTATGAATTAGATAAAAATATATAAACGGGATTCGTAGACGAAACTAGAGGATTACTCGTTTGGGAATGCCCGATCCATTGTGATCAATCGCTATATTGTTGTTGCCTTAACTGACTACAGCTAAGTGTCCGAATCATTTGCCTTATACTAGTGATAGTTTAAGTGTCTGATTGCGTTAACTGACTACAACTAAGTGTCCGAAATCAATTGCCTTAAACTAATGATAGTTTAAGCGTCTGATCAATAATTTCCTTAAAAGAATCTGGTTATGGAAATTATGATTTGGCCTTAGACTAAGAATAGCTAAGAGCATTCTTATGATCTGGCCTTAGACTAAGAATAGCTAAGAGCGTTGTTATGATCTAGCCTTAGATTAAGAATAATTTAAGAGCACTATCGGAATAATATCTGAATTGAATAAAGTGTGTTGATATGAACTGAATACTATCAAAATTGTGAATGTCTGAAATGAACATTGTGTGCATGATATCAAATGATTTGATTATGAATTTAGATTTAGTTTTTATGGATGTTCGATGCATTAGATATGCTTACTCAGCTTCACCGCTGAGCGTGTAGTGTGTTTTATTTGCTACACGCAGGTAAACAGAAAGATTAATGTGATCCTGGCGGCAGATGGGGCGAGATTGTCAGGATGGATGTGACAAGTTTGAAATGATTTATGATATGTCAAAACTAAATTCGCTTCCGCAATATTGATGAATACTCCGTACTGTATATGTTGTAAAAAATATTATTGTGATAAATAAAAGTGTTTGAAAAGTTTTAAATTTTTACGATTACCAAGTTAAATACTTTAGTTCGAAAAGGGCTACAGACTTGGACGGATTAGGGTGTTACAATTTGGTATCGGACCAAAGTGAGGCCGGAGACAGATATCTTTCTAATCTGTGTGGTATGGGACATAGAGCTTGGTAAGATACATGTAGTCGGTGGAGGTAGATATCTTTCTAATCTGTGTGGTATGGGTCACACAGCTTAGGGAGATACATACAGCCAACTCATGATCCTTGGGAACCCTCGCGCGTGAACGGTGGCGAAGCGTGACTCCCCGCCTAAGTGCTCAAGCAATAGAGTGCTTTGATAGGACCAAATTGTAGCCACATAGATGTGTTACAATTTGGTATAAGAGAAAATGGTTTTAAAACCGATCTTCGGATCAAAAATTTGAATTAAAAAAAATGTTTCAGTCACATCCACGACTCTCGCATCCCTCTGCTCCAAGAAAGGTATGAAAAATTACTTGGTAAATATTGACTATGTTAGAATTCTCATTAGAGAACAATTGTTAGTTCTGAAATTATATCGAGCATAAACTCAAGTAAATTTTTCGTACTCGGTGAAGAGATGAAAGAATATTAAAAAAATTATGACTCCCTGATACGTTATCAACGTACTTATCGCATCGCGAATGATGAAACTGATCTGCCTCGCAAAGTTGCATAGAAGTGAGAAGACTATGAAGAAACGATTGGTGTTGAATAACATCTGTGCAGCTGTTGTCAAAGATCCTGATGTGGACTGAAGACGATCGGATCGCTGATTTAAACACGAACGTTTAGAATCAATAAAATCATTACAAAACAATATGCGATTGTATCTGGTGAAATGAAATCGTTCGTTAAGCAACAATTCCTTGCAAAACCTCGTTGAAAATACCATACAAGGAAATTGACGTTATCCTTAGTATGAATTGGCTGACTAAACAGCGTTCTGTTGACAACTTTTGACGAAGAATTCTTCAACTGAAGACTGATGATGATAACCTTATAGAGGTGAAAGAAAAGCTGATTTCTAAATCGACCAAGTTCATCTTAAATGAGTACGCGAATGAAGATGGATCGATGAGACTCTATATCAACTACCGTCAAATGAAATCGTTATCTTTATCTCGTATCTATGACTTATTTGATCAGCTTAGAGAATCCATTGTGTTCTCTAAGATTGACTTACGGTCAAAGATACTATCACATCTCTGTTAAGAAAAACAAACTAATGATCAAGAATCGCTACCCTTTACTATGAATTGACGATTTGCTCGGTCAAATTCAGAGGAACCTACTTGCAAGAAGCTATGGATAACTCAATCTTGTTGAATGAAGTGACACATTGTTATGACACGATTAGTGACTTAACCATCGATATAGTCTGAGTAAATATCCGTTGTCAACTCGTCAAGAATCCTAACGAAGGAATTTCTGTTATTGTAGAATGAGTTAAGAAACCGCTCACGATCAAAGTAACCAAGTGCCAAGCGATGGGCACGAAAATGTTCATACTGAATTATCCAGTGTCACACCTCCTATTCAAAGTGAACAAGTGAACTTACTACATGTTCCCCAAAATGATCAAAATATTGGAGGTCAACCTGACGCTATGCTACCTACATTAATGGTAAATTTCTTACAACAAATGACTAATCCCTTGTGTTTCAACCACC